ATTGAACAGATGAGGAAACTGAGGCCCAGAGGGAACACTTTACCTAAAGTCACCCAGACATCTGGGGCCAAGACTGAGATTGAAACTCGGGTGTGATTATATCCAAAAATCCCTACTCTTGGTCCTCCCAAGCTGCCCTGGTAGGAGGTCACATCAGTATTGAATTCAGAACACATGACTCACAGTGCCAGTATTAGATTTCTTCTGGGCACGAATCCACATATTGATAAGAGGGTTCTGAGCCCATGGTAGTTGTTATATGGAGTTGGAAGATGGATTTAAAAATCAAGACCAACAACAAATTTTTATGCAAATTTTCATCAGGACCCATCTGCCTCACTTAGGTTGAAGGCACCTATGTCCTTGGGATAAGCAAAAACATCTTGAAATCAAATACAGTAGGAAACCCAGCAATGGGGAGAGAATGAGTGTGTTTGTAAGCACTGGTCCGGAACAGGCAAGTTGAGGGCCTGGATTGTCAACAGAACGAAATCTCAATTACAGAGTAATCTAACGTATACCTAGGTACATTATCACAACTCAATAAACAGCTCTTTAGAATTAAGTAATTCCAATTTGCTTTCATTTTGATCTGTGTCGCCCCAAGAATTTGATATTACCTACGCTCAAATTACATGGCATCTTCTAAAGCACTGATGCTCACAATCCCAGGATAATGCAAGAACCACTGGCCAGCCAGCCATAAACACACCAATTGAGAGACAGACATCGCTTGGCATGGTGCAAGTACCTGCTATAGATACTGTCAGAGGGGCCCCCCATCTAGCTCCTGGCACCCTTGGGCACAGAGCAACCTTGTAACCTCCCAAACCCAGTACAGCCCAAGTTCTGAATGAATGATGCCATGTAGTCAGGTGGCTAAGCCCCAGAAGGAGTGGCTAACTCATCCTTTGCCCCCAGATTCCTGGCTCACCAATAGGCAGATGCAGGAGGGGACACAGGGACTCTGACCTAGCATGGACACCAGGACCCAAATTTCCCAAGTCCCCATGTCAGCACCCACTTTCATATTTCCTCTGTCCCCTTCCCTATGGTTGGCACAGGACTGTATGGGGAGAAACCGCCAGTGTCCCTCTGCAGAGGAGTCCCACTCAGCCAGTCCTTAACCATCTCTTACCTCTTTACCTGGGAAATCCCAACGTCCTTAGCAAGTTATTTAACAAATATTTCCAGGGCAAGCAGCCGAGCACCATTCTAAGAACATTTTTTTTTTCATTCTAAGAACTTCGGCACACAGTCTCATTTAATCCTCTGGACACACACCAGTCTTTGGTAGTTAATCCTATATTCCCATTCCCTGATGAGCCAGCTGATGCTGGGAGAGGCTGATGTTCAAAGTCAACAGAGCTGGGATGAGATGGGGCTGGGATTTAAACTCATGCATTGGGGCTCTAGACTTCTTTCCTGTCTCTGAATTGGAGAGAAGTAAAGAAAATTTGGGGAAAAATCTGCCCAAGGCTGGTTTTCCTTCTGTGACATGTCCAGGCCAGCTGCCTGCCCCTCAGCCCACACCACCTGTTTGATGTGGAAACCAGGAACTAGAAATTCAATTAGGACAGCAGCTCCATCCCCTGGAAGAAGACCTAGCCCTTGAGAACACTTTTGTTTAGTTTCCTCAAATTGTCTCCATTCCCTAAAAGAAGCAAGATTTATGCATATTCCTTGTTGAGTTTTTTTGTTTTTTTCACAATTGCAAATATTTCAATCCTAAAGTATCTAACCATCCTGCTCAGTCATGGAAAGGGGCGCTGGGAGGCCAGTGAGTCATTCTTCAGAAGACACTTGCCCCCAAATGCTCTGGTTTGCTGCCCTCACATGGGTTCTTGGCCAGACATCCAGGGTGACAGGCTTCCTCTGACTGCTGCTGCCCTGGGGTCCTCTGCCTTTCATTTTCTTACTTGGCTTGGTTACCATTAGCTATGTAGGGATGTGTGTGTGTGTGTGTGTGTGTGTGTGTGTGTGTGTGTGTGTGTGTAAAGGGTTAAATTCATTTCTCTGGGAACCTGAATGATAGTAAGTACTCCATTCCAGAGAGGCAGGAAGCAATGGTGGGGGGAAGCATGAGTTAAAAAAGCAAGTTAGCCATAGGTCCAGGGACCTTCCATGAGCTCTGCATACAATTTAGACCCTTTCTACTCTGTTTATACCATCATGATACTGGGTGTCAACAAAGCTACAACCCTCAGGCCCTTTGAGTATGGCTCAAATAGCAGAAACTAGCCCCAGGCTGGACACCAGCTCTAACCCCTTACAATTGTTTCTCAACCTGGCTGTGGTTGCCCTCCTCGCTGTAAAATAAATTAAAATAAAACCAAGGGGTAGTGCCACAATTAGAGGACTAAATGAGACCACATGTGTGAAGGGACTTCTACCTTCAAAGGGCCCAGCTTCTAGCTTGTCACCAACTAAAGGCAAAAGGAAAAAAAAAAATGGTTGCCAAAAAAAGTGATATCCCACAAAGGTTTCCTCCAGGTGAAATAAAAGGAGACCAGGTTAGAGGAAACACACACTATGAAGGAGGCCACCCTGCATATCACCCAGCACACAACAGCCAGGGCTGCAGATGAAGGCTCTGGAAGCAGCAGTGGCTCCTGAGTCATAGTGACAAACATGGCCAGTGTGATGGTCCCTCGGTCCGAACTCCAGCCCAGGATGCACAGCCCACAAAGGATAAACCACTGTCCCAATAAACCCTGGCCACCCCTCTAAACAAAGGCAACAATGCTTCACCGTGGAAATCCCAACCTCTGTCCCAAAGGCCTCTGGACTTGGCATCCAGCACCTCCTCCTCCACAATGAGTGACGTAAAGGAAGAATAAGCTAAGTGCCTTCTGGTTCCATTTGTCTGTGTGAAAAGATCAGAGCGCTCCACTAGCTGCCACAGTCACTCTTCCCATTATCTGCTCACCAGCCTTGTGCCGGGCACCTGCAAGGTGTGGACAGGGCTGGGGAGAGCACAGGCGGACACAGTCCACCCTCTGGTGGGCTCCTTCTCCAGGGTGTGAGGCCGCCACACAAGAGGTGTGATGAAGTTCTAGGGGAGGGGGGAAAGCCCAGGAAATCACAAATTCAGTGAGTGCCTCAAAGGCCTAAAAAAAGCCACTGCGTCACAGAAATCAATCTTATGGCATCAAAAGAGCAAATATATGAGCCTAATACAATTGAAATGATGGTTTCTTTTATATATTAATGGCACTCAGTGTAAATGATTTTAAGATGTTTTTCCCCCCTTGGTTGTTTTGTTCATGACTGCCTAATTTGTTGATCTTCAGCTTAAGTGTTCATGGCATTATGGAGATGAAATGAGTTCCTGCTGAGGCCAATAATTCATTCACTCATCCATCATTCAACAAGTATTTTAAGGTTGAGCCTTATGATATGACCAAATGCGTGGGTCAAAACAGCCGAATGCAGGCGGTTTTGTGTTCGGGCACACTCGGGACTTGTGCCAAGCCCTTGACTGAGCCCGGGGGCACTTGTGAACCAGGAACCAAACAAAAAAAAAAAAATGCCCCTATTCTCAAAAAGCTCATATTCTAAAGGACAAGATGGAAAATTACCAAGCACAGGAATAAAGGAAAAATATAATTTTGAAGCATGATAAGTACTATGTAGAACAAGGGACAAGGTGACCTGAAAGCACCCAGTAGCACGGGGCCTTGGGACATCATCTGGGAGAAGGCCTGACAGCATTCAAGCTAAGATCTGATTGATGACAAATGTCGGGCATGTAGATATCCATCTAGAGTCAGGACAGCCCAGGAGAAAGAATCTCACACTAGAGCTCCCTGTCTAGGTGCAGGCAGGACTACCAGTTATGTGCTAACTAGGAGCTAGAGGTCAAGACCTTGATATCAACCTGTGCTTTGACCAAGGAAACCAACCCAGGAGACCTCTGGGGGGCGGCGGGGGGCGTCAATCCATATTTTCACCTTCATATGCACAGAGTATCATCCTACAGCTAGCATAAGATGAATAGCTTCATTATTTCATTCACTAAATTATGCTATATTAAAATTTTAATCGGTGAACATAACGCTGGAAAATGAGTACATCCATACGCTGCGATTTTCCAGTATGAACTGTCAAACCTATATATTTTTTTTTTTGCAAAAGCAATATTGCCACACTAAGAAAAATCCATAAAGATGCTCCTATTCTTTGGCCTACCAACTCTACCCCTAGGGAATTTATCCCAGGAAATAACCTGGTTCAATAGAATAAAAATGTTCTCGTTGGAAGAACTCCATTGAGGTGTTAATTGATGCACAGAGGAAAAATAAAACAAAAACGAAAACACCTGGAATTACTTAAATGACTACAAATAGATTTTAAGAAATGGGGTGATTCACTTGATGAAACAGTATACAACCATTAAGCATTACAACAGAGATTATATAGACTTTCAGAAATAAATGGGATATCCAGCCCCTTGGAAGGAGCAGAAAAGGAAGCAATGTGCATATTTTAATGTAAAGCATGTTGACAATACCTCAAGGTGAACAAGAACAAGAAAATTGGAAAGAATTGAATCAAGGCCAGCAGGGTGGGGGCATTATTTATTTCGAAAGTCCTTCCAAAATATTGTCATTAAATTGAGTTTTCAATAAAAAAAAAAAAATCCCTCAGAAACAATTGTACTCCCCGGACACAGCAGTAGAACAGTACCAAAACACAAGGACGTTGGTTCATTCTGACTTCAAATGCAAAATAAGCCAAATTTATAGATGCCTTCTGTGTTGTATACCCCATAGGTTGGCACAGGTGGACCCTTTAATAAGACTCACCTCATAATAACAAAGCCACATTGCATGATTTTACAGTAATTTCACCTCTTTCTCTGCAGTGGGGGAAAGGGGGGAAGTGGTGTGTCTTTCAACTGACTGGAAGGAGGAATGGCAGATGAGAAGAGGCACCTGGATTCCTCCCACCCTCTGAGGATGGGGCCAGGGCAGCCCAGGGAACTCAGCCCCACTCACCTTTCACAATAAGCTCAGCATAGTTGGACACACCGGAGCCGCCATCGGAACGGATCACACAGCGGTACTTGCTCACGCTCCGCTGGGCCGTGTCAGCCACACTGACCGTGGCTGAGAAGCGTCTGTGGTTGACCACGCGGGTGACCATAAGGGCCGTGTCCCGGCCGTTCCATTGCTGCAGGACAGAGGGAGGGAAGGGGAGGAGAAATCGCATCATCATATAGCCCCTAGGCGATCCCTGGTTCAGAAGGGGCCATGTTTTCCCCACACCCCTGGGGCCAGGGCTTTCCACAAGAAGGAGTATCCATGGCTGGCTTTTGCAAGCAATCTGACTCAAGTACAAACTCTGCTAGCAAGCTGATTCAGGAGGGCAGTGCCTGATGGTCAGAAGAGAGGGCACAGGCCTCCTCCCAACACATTGCTTCCTTGCTTGGCCTGAGCATAAGGCTGGCATTTGGCCCTAAGCCTTCCTCCCGCCTTCCTTCATCTCTGAAGCAGAACCCACAAGGTTCCTCCAAAGACAGAAAACATAACCCATGAAATAACAACAAACAGCCTGGCCCCCAGGCCCATGGCTGGTGTCCTGGTACCACAGCCATAGGCCCTGAGGGCACCTCACAGTTACCAATCTGTTCCCAGGTATGGTGTGGATGGGGGTTTTCCAGCACCTCTCCTCCTTGGCATTTGCTCTTTCCTCCACCTAGAACCTCTTATCTGCCTGGGCACATTCGCTCACTCTTAAAAACTCATACTCAGCATATCGCCGTATCCGTTAAGTTCCCCTGGACGGTCACACCACCTTCTAGAAGCTATTCAATCTCTGGTGGGTTTGTGTTTGTGTTTTGCCTACACGTTGCCCACCACAGACTAGACTCTGAGCTCCCCAAGGTGACTTAGCCCCTTTTCATCTCCAGCCCTGTGCCCAACCTCTCGAGTTGGTAAACATTTCTACAATCGAGGTGAATGCACAGGCATTTTTGTCTGTACTGTGCTGAATCTCAGGTACGATATTCTGAGTTTGAATGAGTCTCTTCTACAGCAGCAAGTTATAACAACTAATAAGCACATGTCTGAGGATGCAGCCTGAGTAACTTTTAAACTTCCATGAGCCAGACCCTGAATCTCCTTTTTAATCCTCGCAGCCTTGTTTGAGGTATCACTGCAGCTCTTCTTAGCAGAATCCAAATGTCAGCATGGCTGTGCAAATATACAGAGCAAGGAAGTCCCTCATCCAGCTTTTCTGACTTCGAGGCAAGTATCTTTTCCCTGAGACCCTATCCTCACTGCTTTTATTTCTTTACCAAAGTAAAACTGAGTGCTTTGTCTCATTGGAAACCTCAGGATTTAGGAGCTTCCTCACACCTGGAAATTTCCATGATGTAATCCTCATTGCTTCTTGTCCCAAGCAAACCCTTCGAGCACACATGTGACCTGCTTCCATCCATCCACACTCCCATCAGTGATGTGTCAGGACTGCAACAGGAGAGGGGGTGGAGCTACCATGCTTAGCTGCCCCAAGCAGGTGAGATGGAACAGCAGGGGAGGGCAGGGAGCAAAAAGCCAAGAAACACAGAGAAACCAAGGCTTCTGCGTGACTTGTTCCAGGAAGATTGGTGGAAAGGGAGGTTGGAGGGGATGGTTTTCTTCATTTTACTTTTTAGTATTTTCTAGGCTTTCTGCCTCAAACATTGCTTTTATATTTGAAAAGAATAAAGTAAATAGTATTTTTGAAAAACATGCAGCATTGAGGGGCAGCCATAATCCTCTCCCATTTCAGAAACTCAGCAATAGGACCGGACAAGAATAATGCAAGGGAACTGAAGGGAGAAAATCATTAGGGCTGAAAGTGCCCACCACCTGCCTCACGCCCAGATACATTTTTGCAAGAGATGGTACCACTTGCTCAAACTCTGATCTGATCTGATCTGGGGAAAAGTTGGCTGGACGCACAGAAAGGCCTCAGAAGACATTAGTGCACCAAAAACAGCTCATTTTTCTCCTCCTCTCTGGGCAGGGCCCCTTCATTCCTGGAAAGAGACTGATGAGGTTCTGGCTGGGTATTTTCTACCCTGATTTACTTAGAACCTCAGACATTTTGATCTAAGTTAACAGCAACTAAATATCACTACGGGCTAAGTGTTCTACATTCCTCCTTCATTAATTCCTTACAAAAATCTGTAAGGAGTGGGGGCACACTCATTATCTCCATTGTGCACAGGAGAAAAGCTGAAGCTCAGAGGAGTGAGCTGCCTGCCCAGGCCTGCACAGCTTGCAAGTGGCAAAGCTGGGATTTGTATGCAGGGCATCTGGTGTCCGGGCTTGGCCTAAAGATACTAAGTGTTGCTCTAAAGTGGGGTAACTACTCCCCGCCCCTCACCTCCTCCAGCACACTTATTCCCAAATATGGAAAAGGGTAGTTAATGAGTGTGGCCAAGATCTACCTATGTGCCACCAATTTCTTAGCTGGGGACCAAAAAAAAAAAAGCAAAGACAGGGATGGAGGAAGGGATATTGTGTAGGGGGAAATATGCAAAGATGTAGGCTTTTCCTCAGATCTCCCAATGCTTTGAACAGTCAAGAAATTTGGGAGATGGAAGACACCAAGAACAATGCCAGCACGTGAACTCTACAGACCATTAGCCAAGAGGCAAGTGGATAAGAAACGTGCTAAGAAATAAAATAAACCTCAAAAGAATTATGGGAAACAAACAAAGCCACTTACAGGTTTCAAAACAGAACAAGAAGTGAACAGCAGAATCAACACCGCAGAAAAGCACTGACCCGGGGGGAACAGTCTTAAGAAAATAATCCAGATCACCAAAAAAGCACAGATGAAAGCACAGAAGGGAGGCAAATCGATGAAGAAAACAGCGATCAGATGACGATGTACCAGGTAAGTAACCGGTACTCCTGAGGATGGAAGCTCAGGGAATGAACACGAATCCTATCCCAAGACACATCAGCTCACATGCCTGCATTAAAACGAGACTGAAATCTTCAGATGGAAATGGCCTCCCATCCTCGTGACAAAATTTACGAAAACCACAATAACTGAGGTATGCGTTTTATTTCACAAAAATATTCGATGTAAAGGATTGGGAAGTATATAAAAATCCAGACAGGAAAAAAAATACTGTGCTGGTAAATAAGTAAACAGACCAATGTGGCATAAAATGTCTTGTCTGTAACTGCTCCCAAAGCCCCAGAAACCTCTCCCTCCTGGATCTGGCTGGTGCCCCAGCGGTCATAGCTGAGCTCCCAGGAGGCTAGATACTTGGGAGAGGCTGGGATGGGAGCTAGGGAAAAGATGGGACAAGGAAATGGTAATAAAACAAATGCATGCAAACACCCAATATGTGCAGCCTCCAGCCCTGGTTCAAGTCTCTGGGCTTTGGTTTCCTTACATCTATCATGGATAGCATAGTGGTGCCTGCTTATGAAGTTCTCATGATGTAGAAATGACAATGTGTAGGGAATACTCAGCACATGACAGCATATTCTGGTGTGAGCTGAGCTCTCCAAACTAACCATGAAATCAACCATGAAAAGTGGGTAAGGATAATAGCCTCCCACAATGTCCGTATGCTAAATCCCTGGAACCTGGGAACATGTCACCTTCCATGGCGAAAGGGACGTTAAAGATGTTAGCTTCAGGATCTGGAGGTGTGGCGACGATCCTGGATCACACAGGTGGGCACAATGTAATCACAACGCACCTTGTATAAGAAACCGGGAGGAGAGTCAGAGTCATAGACGGGACATGCGGTCACAGAAGCAGAGGTCAAAGTAACTAATGGCTTGAAGGTGGAAGGAGAGGCCAGAACCAAAGAATGCAGACAGCTTCCAGAAGCTGTAAAAGGTAAGACAGTGAATTCTCCACTACACCCTCTAGAAGGAACACAGCCTGGCCAACACCTGGATCTAGCCCTGTCAGACTCCTTTCTGACCTCTGATCTCCACCACCACAAGGTACTAAGTTTGTGTGGGTTTTTTATTATTATTATTATTATTTTTAAGTTTGTGTTGTTTTAAGCCACTGTGTCTCTAATTTGTTGCATCGGCAATAAGAAAGCAACACAAACGGCAAAGAGCTGATTACGTGCAAAGCATTCATTTTTTATATTTAGCTTAAATTTTATTTTGATGTGACCTCCAGCATTACTTTCTTAATGATGTCATATTCCAGCAGGACCAGAGAGGAGAAAGTGCATCCCCCTGAACAATTCAAATTTTTCCCTTTAGTTTCTGAACCACCAGGCTTTCTCCCATTGAAGGAAAGGAAATTGCAGGTTGTCTTATAAAATCTCTGGAAAATAGGCCTTTTAATAATCATACTTGTCATATTGGGAGCAGGCAACAGCAGGACTGGAATGGGCAGCAGAGCCCAGAGCCATGATAGGAAATGGAACTGTGATGGACCACCGGCAAGGACAAATGAAGGTGAAGTTCAGGGAGATGAGCCCAGACGGAAGGGCAAGAAGGGGCTGAAAGTCAAAGCAAATGAGCAGCAAGCCAGGAACTGAGATCAGGAGGGATTCTAGAAGACCAGGCATGGTGACAGGCTCAGAGACCAGAACACCATGACAACATGGAGAAGGGATTTAAGCAGAAGGCATGTGTCGGCAGCACAGGTTTCCACCGTGGTCTCGGCCCCAGACACAGGCAGAAAAGAACATGCAAGGCAAGAAAACAAGGGGAGGTTTCATCAAGCAGGAATAGACTCAAGAAATCCAGGCTCACAGGCAACAGAGCAGGTTTGAAGGGGTACAGGGAGGGGTGGAGCAGGCAGGGGGCCAAGAGCCTGAAACGGACCTCAACCCAGAGACGAGGTGCAAGAGGAAATCCTCCCAACCAAGACGCCAGGTGCCACACAAATGCACAGGGATGCAAATGGCTAGGCTGCTAGGAAAGGGGAGCGGGACAGCAAAGAGAAGCCAAAGTCCCGAGACAAGCCACGGATGATGCATATGGAAGCCTGGGGAAGAATCTGTCAGAACCCCCATGTCGCCACTCCTGCACGCTGAAAATTCTCCTTTGGTACCTATGAAATTTTCCACATGTTAAGTATATCCTTCTTCTGAAATTTCAACTATACCTCCTTTCGTCTCTCAGATTTGCATCTATTATTGTAAAATGGAATCATCTTCTGGCCCCTGTGTCTGTGGCAAATTGGAT